AGGGTCGAGGTACGGGCATTCTCCAGAACTAAGCCCTACATCCTGAACCCTAAACCACCTTGCATACTCCGAGTGGCATTTCAGCGTTTGCACGACGTCGTGGCTGGCCAGCCAGTGCCCGACCTATGGCTAAGAATATGGGGTTCGGGTCCAGGGTTAACGATCACGCTAAGAATGGAGAACCAAATGGAAAAGCAAATGGAACATATGCAGGCTTTGTTTGTTGGGGCTTACCTCTGGTAAGTAGGTAGCGAAGAAATCCAAAAAAGGAAAACTACCACGGGAAGGGGGGGTGCCCTAAACCGCTTCTGGATGGAGCAATTTTTCAGAACGGGGGCCCTTATAGGGATCCTAGGGCTTAGGATTTGGGATTCGGGGTTTAGGGCTTAGGGTTCAGGGTTTAGGGCTTAGGGTTATCAGGGATCATGGGGGTCGAGTTTCAGGCTTTTACAAGAATGTGCGGTCTCGGGCTGAGGTTTGGTAGGGATTGAGGGTTAGGATTTAGGACTTGTAGCTAGAGGTCTAGGCTGTAGCGGGATATTGATTCTAGGCGCTAAGCCGCAGGATTTTGGGGACCTTCGGGTTTCGAGCTGAGGACTTGCGTTTCACAGGGTTTAGAGTTTAGGGTTGTTGAACCCTAAGGCTCAAAATACCCAACAGCCTTTTTATAGTATGGTCTTTGGGCCCACAAACCTTATAGTATGAGTCTTTAGAGCCTTAGGGGAAGGCTTAGGATTTGAGCCTCAGTGTGTTTTGTAGCATATTGAGCTCATGCAGAAAAAGACGCCAAACCTTTCATGCGGGATGGCTGAGGCAGCACCAAGGTTTTGTCTTGTTTCATGAGCTTCGTCGCCAGGAGCTTCGGAGGCTCCTCTTCCTTGACAAAAGACCCCTGAGAACGGACCTGCCGCAGCTTGTGAAGTAATCCCTAAACCCTAAACCTAAACACTTAGTAGTGACCTTGTAGGTCTCTTGTAGCTTCTTGCTGTCGTCATCCGCCAAGTCCCCACAACCTAATGCCCCCTTACCTAAACCGGAAACTCAAAACCCTGAATGTGTGGTTTAGGGCTTGGGGCTTAGCGCTTGGGGTTTGGGGTCCTCCCCCCCCTTGCACACTAAGTAGAGCGTAAAACAGGCCCCCCCTCGCAAGGTTGCACGTTGGGGTGGGGAATGCAGGAATGGTACAAAGTCCCGTGAACCCTAAACTCTAAATCCTAAACTTTAATCCCCAAAACCCCAAGTCCTAAGCACTACCCTTTACCTTGTTTATGGCTGGCTTATGGGTAGTTTATGGGTCTTTAATCCCTAAACCCACATGCCCCAAACACTACGCACCCTCAGAGCCTAAAGGCAAATGCCGAGCCCAAAAACTCAAAACTCTAGTATGATCCCTTAACCTCAAACCCCAAAAACGTCAACCCCAGGAAACCACAAACCTAAACCGTACCATGACCCTTGAACTCACAACCCAACCACGATCCCTTTTCAACACCAAGCCCCCAGCCTTATCACGATCTCCATACCCAATACCCTACCATGATTCCTGAAACCCAAACCCTACCGCTGATACTAAAATCCTGCACGACCCTAGTATACTATAGCACCATAATTTCCAAGGTATAAGGTACCTAGGGTCATGCAGGAGTTTTAGTATCCACCGTATGACCCCAGAAGGCCCCAAACTTTCAATGCCCCCTAAAGATCCTTATGACTCGCTTCAACAATGTGTAGGATTTAGGGCGCGTCCAGGACGTTTGCCCGTATGTTGGGGGGGCTTTGGGGGGTGGGGGGTGAGGGGTGAAGGGGATGATTACGCACGTTGTATTTTGTATCCGTGAATTACGAAGAAACCATCCCTTTCTCGCCAAGACAATTCAGGAAAAAGCGCAGCAGGCGTGGGGTTTCCTTCACTTCGCAGCAATTGAATTTCCACCTTCAACTAACATCTCCACTTAGCGCGAGGAGGGCCATGATTGTTGTTCCACGCCTGTATCCTGCAAGGTTTAGGATTCAGGATGTACAGTCTAACGTCCAGGTTTTTGTTTGAGGCCCTTTAGCGACACCTCCGGAGGATCCTCCGAAGGTGCAAATTCAACTGCCTCCGAAATGGACGAAATGCCACGCCTGCCATGCCTTTCTGACTTGGAGTTTTTTGATTCATGTTAGACTTTAGAACCCTAGAAAACGCTGAGATGCTGGCCACTCATGCTGAAATGGTTCATATACAAACATTACACAGCTCTCAAATACTTCAAATTCACTGCCCCTGCCAGTAAAAAAAAAGATGCTCACGATACTTGGACTACACAGGAACTACACCTGCAACACGCCCAACAACACAAGCAGGTCACATCAATGCGCGGAAAATCGGGGCAAACGTCCTAAACGTGCCCAGGATTTAGCGGGCGGTTTGGGGCCTCGGGTTCCCAAAGTTGCCGACACCCCACAATTCAAACAAAACCCTTATATCCTAAGCCAAAGCCCTATACATCCCTATATATATATATATATAGTCCTGTAGAACCCCAATATAACCCCATGAATGGTATTTAGCCATGACTCCTAAACTCTTAACACCTCCAAACCTGACCATCGTCCCTAAACTCCAATTCCTAGACCTTAAACTTAAACAATGTATTCCTTAAAACACACTAGAATCCAAGCCCTAAACCTTGAACCCTAATCCCTTTGAAAGATATCCCATACAACATCTTCAACCCCAAGCCCTACACCTTCAACCCTATAAACCCTTGAAAGGCACCACTTTAAGATCCTAATCCTAAGGCCTCCTCTGCTGTTTTAGCCTAAACCCTAAACCTTAAACCCAAAACCCCAAACCCTAAGCTCAAAACCCTACACCCTAAATCCTAAACCCTAAAACCCTAAAACCCTCAACCCAAAGTCCTAAATCCTAAGCCCTAAAACCCTCAAACCCTGAAAGGCCCAAATCACGGGCCTCCTCTGCTGTTTGAGGTGGCCCCGTGGGCAGAGGTTCATCCTCCTCCGCTGGCTCCGGACCTGGAGTTTAAGGGATTTAGGGATGCAAGGGTTTAGGGTTTGGGGTTAAAGGGATTTAGGGTTGAGGGTTTTAGGGTTTAGGGGTTGGCGGTTTAGGGTTTTAGGTTTTAGGGTTTAAGGTTTTCGGGTTTAAGGTTTAGGGTTTAGGGTATATAGGGTTTAGAGTTCTTAGGGTAGAGGCTTGGGGTGGGTTCCCTGCAAAGAGGGTATATCAGGGACATATACATATCTATCTATGATACAAGAATTGAGGTTTGGGGGGATTGGGCGTTTAGGGTTTGGAGGTATCAAGGGGTGGAGTTTAGGGTCTTGGGCCGTTTAGGGTTTAAGTCTAAGTTTGGGGCCTGGAATTTGTTCTTAGGGCTGTGGGTTTCAGGGGTTGCAGGGTTGAGGTTGAGGTTAAGCCTTTGGGTAGGGGGCCTGGGGTTTAGGGCCTTGGGTCTAGGTCGGGGATCAAGATAAGCAACCTGAAGCACGGAGGTGTTCCAAAACAAGCCATCTCTGTGTAGTGCCTCGGATCTCACAAACTGGTTGAACAACTACTCATATCCCTATACTCTAAACCCTACAACCCTAAATCCTGAACCCCAACCCTAAACCCTCAACCTAGGGCTTAAGGGAAAAGAAAAAGACCCCCTGTCCTTTACTGAGCCTCTTCATCGGCTGCCGCGGGCACTTATTTTGTTAGGCTTTAGGGTTGAGGGGTTTGGGTTTAAGGGTTTAGCGTCGAGGGTTTGAGGCTAAAACCCGCCAACAAATGGCCAAGCGCCCTAACCTCAAAGGCTCAGAAATCAGCTGTGGAAACACTCCCCTGGGTATCCATGTCTATAAATAATGTCTACATTGGGTCCTAAATTCTACGAAGAGCAAACCCTAAACCCTAAACCCCTAAACCCTAAAACTCTAAACCCTAGAACTCTAAAACGTTTTGGAATCCCAAAGGGTTATGCAGAATGTATATGGCCGGGCGATGTTGAAAATTTGGTGTCAAGGTCTTCGTTTGGGAATTCGAAGCCTGTCCAAGGGATGTCAATTGAAGAACCATTTTTCAGGGTTTAGGATGTAGGGTGCTATTTAGGGGTTATATAGGGATAATGGAAAAGAAAATGGCAGCTCCGATTTGTAGATTTAGGGTTTACGGTAACAGGGTCAAAGGTTTAGTATACCCTGTCTTTGCTAGGTGGGATGGAAGACAAGTGTGGATGCTGCCGTGACAGGGGCCTTGCGGCTTTAAGGCGCTCGGAGACGTCATTTAGGGTTTGGGGTCTTAGGCTCAAGGCTCAAGATTTTGTCTTGTAGGGCATGGACGGTGATGGCGACTTCTGGGCAGCAACATATTTCAACTCTGAAGCCATGTATCTACGGCCACCTAAATAGTAGCCCTGGGGATCCATGTCTAGGTTCCCCAGTAACCCCCTCAAAAAAGAGGGTGCCCTTTTTCCTAATATTCAACCTTAATAAGGAGACCCCAAATAAAAAAGGCAAAAAGGGTACTACTGGGGTACCTAGATGTCAATAAGGAGTGCCGACTCATTGGGCCCTAGAGTCGGTACACAATTGAATGCCTACTTTGGCCTAGTTAGATCCATAGAGGCAAGCACTCCCAGTATAAACCAGAGGCAGAAGTTAGTAGACTCTCAGTATATAATATTGTGTGAGCAACTAGTTCCAAATCGGCACACTCTTTTCAAGGAATGGCAGACAAGGTCATGCCACTTAGCCCTCCGAGCGTTCCTATTGATGCTCCAAACAAACGAGCCCGTGACAGGAAGGAAGCCCTTTTTCAAAGAAACCTGAAATCTAACTCCGACGATTTGGGATATAGGGTTTAGGATTCAAGGCTTAGGGTTTAGGGTTATACTTGAGGCACCGAGGTATCACCACTTGGATGTAGCAGAACAGCTTTATACTGACCATCAGGAGCCCTAGCCAGAGCCTCTAAGCCCAAAACAAAGCAGAAGCAAACATCTCAGGTGCCGGGCTCACGATGGGCAGTCGCACGCTTGCCTCGCAGGGCGGTAGCTTTTCTCTGCACCTAATTAGGGACTTTGAGGTGATCTTCAAGGGATGTATAGGAGATTGGATCTATACGGGATATCAGGCTTTAGATTCTCTACATCTACTTCAACTGCTTCTACAACTGCTACTCCTGCTAAAAGTACTACTTGCTTACTAGCACTACTGACACTCAACAATATGCTGTAGATTTTGATGTTCATCCTGCTTGAGGCATAGGGGCAGCGCTTCCACGCCGAGTTTCTGCTTAATTTTGGGTTTAGGATCAAGGCTTTAGGGTCCAGGATGTAGCGTTTAAGTGCCTATATCATCGAGGTCGATTCAAGGTACTCTGCAACACAGGTAAGTATTCACACTTCAAACTTCTACAGCAGGGTTTTGCGTTCTGGGTCAGATATCCAAACAGCGACAGTGGGCAAGCTTCTCCAAAGAATCAGAGCGTTCAGCATAACAGCAACATGTTCAACATGTTCACTACCCTTTTGGTACTTGCTATGTATTCTTGCAAACTTGAGATTTACTGGTGCAGACTTTGTCAGCTTTGCCCAAAGTCGTAGCACTCGTTTCTGATACGATGTTCAAGGCTCTTAGCGCGTGCAGCAAAGGACCCCGCAGGAACCAGAACAGGCAACCGTGACAATTTCCAAAAGCATGCTTAATCCCCACATTCTACGGCGCCTAGTTCACGTCCCGGGGAGAGCTATTGTGGGTTTTCCAAACCAGCACTAGAGGTCCTTTTCTGGGAGCACCTGCCTTGAAGTTTCTAATATTTCGGGGTAAGGGAGACCTCTTTTTCGGGAGGATTCAACTCTTATAGTAGTCCCCTATGTATTCCCCCATATAACTCCCTGAAAGTAATTTGGAATCTATAGCTCACATACCTTTGAGGTCCAGGGCAGGATTCCTTACGACGAGGTCAGTCCTCCAAACTCTCAGCGGCGGCCCGGTAGCCCTCAGAAAAGGGCTGGGATTTGCACCTCAGGAATTCTGAAATCCTACCATCCATGTGTTTTAGAGGTTTGGGGGTTTAGGGTTTAGGGATCCTACACTTCATCCCCCCTATTCCAACCACATTAAAAAAGCAAACAAACAAACAAACCAACTGTTGTTTTTTGGGCACTGTACGCCTCATTTTGGGGGAAGGGGTAGAAGGGGGGATGCAGTTTAGAGTTTCATAAACTAGGGGAAGGCGTAGTACCGAATTTCAGAAAGAAGTTTGCGGAATGAATGGCTTGAGGCTTGCCGCAGGTTGGCAGCAAGCTTTGATCAGTGGGTTCCCTAATCCCTTACCCTACACAAGGGATCCAGATAGCCCGAAGTAGGTAGGTACCATGTATAAACCACCTTAGACCCAAAAGCCATATGTACTATAGTCTAAACTCCTAGTATCCCCCTTAATATCCCTTAAAATAATCCCCACTATAATCCCCTATATAACCCCCTTTAAGGAGTTTAGACTACGGCTCATATGCAAGTTGTACTGCATGTATATGCTAGGCCCCCTGATTTAATAACTCTTGTGATTTGAAGGTAAGCTCAAAGCCTAAGCGTGCTCAGGTTTTTTGGAGGGCTGTTGGGACGTGGGCTGCAGTTGTAAAGCATTTTTTGGCCCAGGAAACCGGTTGCCCGGGGGACTACTTTGGTTGACGTGAAGCTTTTACAAGATCATGTACAGCCTCCTTTGCCCAACCGTGCATATATGTATATATATATACGTATATATGTATAACCTTCAAAATTGTGTGCTCGTATGGGTTATCATGCTTTGTGTTACTTGGGGACTGTACTAAACCACAAAAGGGACCCTATGTCCACTGTTAAGGGTCTCTTGTTAAGAGGCGAATAATTGCCATAGCTCATATATTGTAGCCTATACGCGCTACAAACTCTGGACCCTAGCAACTAGCGACACTATGGACTATAAACCCTATTTGGAGCCTCAAATTATGTAGAATCATGGTTTTCTTGGCCGTTGATAGGGGCTTTGGGCAACTGCTACCTACTCTTGAGACCTGCACCCCTGAAGTATGTATAGTAGCCCTTCGGCAGATAGAATATGGGGTATATAGGGATCTTATTATACCCAATGCCATATTCTATCTACTTAAGGGCGACTATAACAAAATGGCCTTTTGGGCTGGTTTTCGGGTCTTGGGCCATGGTGTTACCTTCTTTCCAGGGCCCTTTAGCAGCCCTATGAAATATGAACCCTAAGCCTGGCCACTATCAACCCTACATCTAACTATGACCCTGAACCCTAAACATCTGGAAGTTGACACAACCTCGTGACATGGAGTTTGTTGGGTTGAGGATTCAATGTTCAGGGTTTTGGGTGTAGAGTTTGCAGTGCTGGGACTTCGCCCCTAGGGCCAGAAGCGCCCTCATTCGACCACAAGAGGCTTCATGGGAAGCTAGAGGAGTATTGGGCTCCCGGATTTCATGTCCATCCTAGAGCCCCTAAAGCCTAACATCGAGGTGCAAACTCCTGGGTTGCTGTTAAGGAACTTAAGTTAAGTTACTATATTGGGGAAACCCTGTTATTTACTATATATACCCATTGTGGTAACTTAATTTAAGTTCCTTAACAGCAACCCAGACTCCCCTGAGTCTCCGGCAGGGAGGAACAGGTGGAGGCAAAATCGTCAAAGAAGGGGAGAACCTTCTCCTGCAGTTTAGGGTCTGGGATTAAGGGGTAAAGGTCGAACACCATGCTCGGTGAAGGACACTTCTCATCATGTTTCTGGATTTTCAGTCTGTGGAATGCCACGGACCCTGGCTAAAGACAAAACAGTGGAACCAATAAGTCCGAACTTAGACACAGCTACCAGTGAACGAACTAGCTTGGTAGAACCCAATTTGCTCCAAGAACAAGACCTGTGAACATGCGAGCATCACCCTAAAATCGCGTTGACAGCCAGCTCCTTGAGCCATCATCCCTAATACCCTAAGGCTGCACAACCCCAAGCCCTCAACCTACCCTGCATATTTCTCGATATCCCTTTCTAGTTCATTGCGGTACACTCTATCATCCTTTTGTCCCTCTACAGGTACTTGGACCCTCAATGCTAGGGCTTTTCGCTCATCAGTTATTCCCGGAAACTGCAGACGTCAAACTCGGAGCCCCGAACCCTAATGTAGACCCCTGATTAATAAACCCCCTCCCCTTAATAGGGATTATAATGGGGGTCCGGATATTAAGGCCTGTAAGAGGAGGGGGTTTATTAATAAGGGGTCTACATTATCACCACAGCGCCGACACCCCAATGTGGAACCCCTAAATCCGAAATCCCATATCCATACATCACGAACCCCTCCAAGCCCTCAACCCCCGACTCCTGCACCCTGACTCCCTAAGTCCTACAACCCTTTTTTGAGCAACGGGCTTGACAACTGCCGGCAACCAGGAACGTTTCTGGTGAAGAGGCTCCCGTGCAGAACAGCACATGACAAAAGAAAACGCACAATGGCAACTTCAAATTGTGTATATCCCGAGACCCTAAACCCTGAATCCCCACACCTGAATTTCCTAAACCCTAGACTCCACGAGCCCCAAATCCTAGGCCCTGAGCCCCTAAACGCTAAATCCCTAAACCCTAAACCCCCATCCCTGAATCCTAAATCCCTAAACCCTACACTCCCCAAGCTCCCTAAACCCCAATCCCTAAACCCAAAACTCCCTAAACCCTTAAACTCCCTAAACCCTGGGCCTTACGTTCAGGGCTTTTCTCCCGACCTTCCAGGCCCGGGCTTCGGCAGGGACTTCGGAGGACAAGGCCCAGGTGCGGAAGCCTTACTACGATTGGGGCCTATAAGATAGGGTTTCAGGGTTGAGGGTTTAGGAATTTAGGGGTTTCAAGGTTTAGGGATTTAGGGTTTGGGGGTTGTTTTGGGGGGTTTAGGGTTTAGGCGCTTATTTGGGGGATTTATGGGGATTTCAGGGGTTAAGGAGTTTGGGGATTCCGGGATATCGGAGTTAGAGGTTTAAGCGTGTAGGAGTTTTGGCGTTGAGGGTTCAGGGGGTCGAGGTTTATACAGGGTTATGTAGGGATTAGATTAGGATATACGTACTACAGATGTAGGAATGTATGGGCTTCTGTAGCGGTTGTATTGGGTTTAGAGGGCTTAGGGTTAAGCATTCAAGCTCCGGCGCTTTTCATTTGCTGCTGGGAGTTCTATAAAGTTATGTAGTGGTTCTGCAGGAATGCATGCGGACATATAGGGGTATATTGGGTTTGAGCGTGTTAGTTTCTGGTTAAGGGCTTGGGGCTTCAGATGAGGGTTTCGGGTTTTTTGGTTTACATACGGCTTGTGGGGTTTGGAGTCTGCGGATTTCAGGTGTAGGGCCCCTTCAAGTGCTTGCAGTTTGCCCTAAACCCTAAACACTGAATCCCTAAACCCAAACCTTAACCCATAAATCCCTAAACCCTAAACCCAATGTATTTCGGGAACGCAAGGACAAGTGGGCCTTAGCGGCACGGCTTATGGTTCCTATAGGCATATTATCCTCCTAAACCTACCCCCACACCCTGAAAAAAAAACAAAATATATATATATATATATACATACATATATATATATACACACTCTCTAAACCCTAAACCAGAAGCTCCCCGAACAGCAAACTCTAAGCCCTAACCCTAAGCTCCCTAATCTCTGTTGCTCCTGGGTGCCTTGTTGACCATCTAAACTCTCACGCAGACAAGTTGCGGCTCTGCGACTTCGCCTTGCACAGCTTTGGCTGCAGTGGCTGAAGGTTTTACATGGTGAGTGGTCCATAGGGTTCAGGGTTTAGGGGTTTAGGGGCTTAGGGCATATTATGGCAGCTTTGGGTGCCGCTCATAAAGTACGGCTCTCGATGTTTAGGGTACCCCCAAGGGCCCACAATGTTTAAAAACAAGCCTGCATGGTGCAGCGAGTCTATGCTGGCAATTTAGAATGCCAACGGCCCCAAAATGCCCTCAGCCAAAAAGCCCCTCAAATCTTCAACCCTCCCAACCATAGACCTGCTAACCTCATTCCTGGTTCAGTGAAGCGCCTCGCCATCTGCCACCATCTCCCTTGTCCGGTCCTGGGCTGAAGGAGTTTGGGTTTTAGACTTCTAGGGCTCCCAGGGCTTTGGGTTCAGGGGTTCTACCTAGACCCTAAACCACAAACTCTTGACCCTCAACCCCAGCTGTATACATACATACATATATATACATATATGTAAATCCCCTCTAGATCAATACAAGTCTTATAAAAGCCTTCAAGGGAGCTCCTTGAAACCCAGTGTGGTAGTTTCCCAAATACGGGGACTCTAACACAGACCCCCAAGTACTGTAATCCTCTTATTTAGGGACCCCAGAAAGCACCACTGATTCGGGCACCCCCATGTACCTTGAGCCCTAAATCCGCGAGCTGAAACCCTAGACCCTACGCCGTTTCAGAAAACCTGCAACCTGAACCGTACCCTGTTTCGGGACACCTGAAACCCTGAACCCTACCCTGTTTAGGGACTTGTTCCTATCTGCCAAGGGGCGCCAAAGTGCTCACAGACCTGCGCAGCCATCTGAGCTCGCCGCGCGCGGCAAGCATCCTGGTTGAGAGTTATAGGGGTTTTAGAGTTGAAGGTTGTGGGGTTTAGGGGTTTAGGATGCTAGGGATCAGTGTGTTAGGGTTGGTTTAGGGTTTAAGGGTTTGTTTTAAGGTTTACGGCTTAAGGTTGTTGGGTCTAGGGTTTTAGGGTTCCAGGGTTTAGGGTTTGGTTTCGGGCTTCAACTTTAGGGCTTTGAAGATTTTATACAGGGCGGGGTTGGGACCTTGGGTTTGAAGTTGCGTTGGATTTCCGGCCCGGGGTTGAAGGTTTGGGCAGTTTGGGGCCTTGGTTTGAGCGGCCTCCTTTCCGACCATCGACTAACTTCGACCCAGGCTGCGAGGTCTAAACCACTGAGTAGTCATAGCATTTGGCAATTGTGGCTTCGAAGTCCCCGGGCCTTAATTACGGGATGAATTATGCAAGGGGTCCAAGAAGTGAGAGAAACCCATGGACCGTGTCATGCTTTTCCTTCAGCATGATCACCGCGTGTTATATGAATTCTGGCTATGGTATTGCAGTGCCACATGCTTACGTTGAAGGTAAAGCTACAGAAGGTCCGGGTAACTCGTATGAGGTCATCGTTGTTTGCAACCTTAGAACACAGTTGGAGGCTGCATCTGCGGCATGCAAAAAATGTTGTCAACATGGTGGTCCCTACCCTGTTTGGGTGGTAGGTACACCATGGCGCCTGACATTTAGGGCGTCCAAAATGGTCCCTACTTGCAGAAACCTCCCATGTATTCTAATGTTGAGGCCATGGCCCCCGGGATCTTTATACACCTACTATATACCTTACTCTAGAATCCCCCTAAAAGGGCTAAGGGCCCATATTAGGGCCCATACTTCCAACTTTAGACATGAGAGCTAGTCAAAACGGGGGCTGTGCTCTATGAGGTTGAGGCGTTTAATACCGCCCTCCCAGCCCGGTGACCTATGTAGGTACTAGGACGCAATTCAGCGAAGGAGGATCGGCTGCCCACTACTTGAACCTTATACTCTATATAGTAGCTTCCATTTTCTTTCCATTATCCTGTTATAACCTCAAGTTATATACATATGTAAAGTTGGGCCATAAACTCAATACCTCGCACACTAACTGTTTAGGGTTTAGGGTCGGGGGTTTGGGGTTTAGGGTCTAGGATTTAGGGTTTAGGGCTTAGGACTTAGGGTTTAGGATTTAGGGTTTGGGGCTAAGAGAAAGGGTAAAGGGAACTTACAGCAGAACCCAAGACTGCACGAAATTTTCTCATGCGCATTACCTCCAGGACCCGGTGCATGTTGAAACCATATGCGACCCTAGACACTTACACGCCCACAAGCTAAACCCTAAAAGCTGAAACATGTTTGCATCTGGCCTTGCGCAAAGCCCAGACCCTAAAACCTAAACCCTAAATAGTAGTTTCCATTGTCTTTTCCATATCCCCCATATATCCCAAACATATCCCCAATATGTCCCCTATATATTCTTTTATACCTCCTACCCTTATTTCAACTGCGCTCGCTGCGCTGCATGTCCCACGTGCAAGCCCTCAGCCGGTCCACTCCATCGTCATCGGTTTATGACAAGTTTAACAATTATGATGCACCGCCCTTAAACTTAAACCAACCAAGACCCCTCCTTAATCCTTGAACTCTACAAATCCAAAGAGAGCTGACATGCTACTATAAACAAGCCTATCTACCCCAAGTCTAGTGGTCCACAACCTTGGGGGCTCTGTGGAAACCTAAGTACATACCAGAGTAGTTCCAGGCCCACAGCCCCAAACACTGAAAAGCGTTAAGAGCCGCATTAAAATGGAGGACTTAAAGAAGGACCATGATTTTGTGAAGTTCCCACATTATTCAGGGTTCCTTAACTCCAGAACCCGCGCTTCCAAACGCAAACCTGAAACCCCAAAACCACTAAACTCAGAACCCCCTAAGCCTTCTGAGAATGGGAAGACTGTTGTAGGGTCTAACAGCACATCCTGGTTGGCTGTGGGTTCTCCATGTGTGGGATCCCCTCCCTGAACCCTAATCCCTAAACCCTGAACCCTAAACCCCTAAATCGTAAACCCCTCAACCCTAAACCCTAAACTCCCTGAACCCTAAACCCTAAACTCCCTGAA